CATTAATCACTTTCAAGGGTGGTACCCATAACCTAAAAGTGAGCTGGGGGGTGCTGGGTGGTGGTGGCACACGCCTTTAATCCCAGCACTCAGGAGGCAGAGTCAGGCGGGTTTCTGTAAGTTCGAGGCCAGCCTGGTCTACAGAGCAAGATCCAGGACAGGCACCAAAACTACACAGAGAAACCCTGTCTCAAAAAACAAAAAACAAACAAACAAAAAAAACAGCAAACAAACAAACAAAAAAAAAGTAAGCTAGGGGCCTGGAATACATGATAACTTTTTTTATTTATTTTTATTTATTTATTTATTTATTTATTTATTTTTGAGACAGGGTTCTCTGTATAGCTCTGGCTGTCCTGAAACTATGTAGACTAGGCTGGCCTCAAACTCAAGAGATCTATCTGCCTCTGCTTCCCAAGTGCTGGGACTAAAAGCATGCGCCAATGATAGCCTATTTAAAAATGTAAATTTTGTCAAGTATTTTCAGCTCTACAAAATGGATTCCAAACTGGGTTTGCAATGCACCCTGAATACTGCTTCATGTTTCTGTGGGGCCTGTCTTCCCAACAGCACATGTAACTATCTCTGCAGACACCAGTGCTCAAGTATGGCCAGGTATCAATTCTCCACTCCCAAGCAAACTAGGCATGTAAGGAGTGAAGTCCCACACAGATCCAAGCCAAGCATGGGCCTGCGAGGCTCCCTTCTGTGGGCTGGGCTGCACTTGGTCTTGGCTGGATCAGATTACCGCCTGGACTGTCTCCATACAGGTTGCCTATCATCCACCTCTTGCCTATATCCTTTTCCACCAAGACCTTTTACTACGTGTAAGATAACATCATGAGCCTGGAGGTTTTTTCTTGTCTCTAGTCAGTGAACCCTAGTTCTAGTACGGTGGCCAAACTCTTATGTTTGACTTCTAGGAATAAGACTTCTCATTTACAACTAACTTTTGAAGTATAGGCACTGAATTCATTCACCGAGGTGTCCTCTGGTTCTTGCTCCGTGTGTGACTTTAGAATGCTGTTACCCTAGCAACCTGCAGCCTTTGCACACAGTGCTGACAAACGTTGCAGCTGGTGGGTAGAGCCCAGTTCCTGGCAGACGTCTGTTCCACGAGTGTGCCAGGGGCCATTTAACTAGATGCTAGGTCAGCAGCATGTTCTTCAGTGTCTGTAAGGCTAACATGGAGCCCGTCTGTCCTCTTAGGGAAGAACAACGGAAGAAACATGAGCAAGAACGAAAGGAGAGGAAGGCAAAGGTCTTGGAAGCTCGAAGAAACCTGGTTCCGACCAAAGCCCAGTGATGCCGTCCAGTCCTTTCCTTCTGATTTGTTTTCCTTCTCTTGGTGTTTTTATACTCTCCTCTACCTTAGTCCAAAGCTTTTTCTACCATAACTGTCCTAATTTGTGGAGTGTCTGCTCTTCATGTGCTATACCTCTGAAAATACATTCTCATCCTAAAATTCACAACTAAAGTGGTTTTCACCTAATGTCCTATAAAACTCTGCTTTTTAAAGTCCTGTCCTTGGGGTTCTTGACAGGTTTTCCATGTCAAGGTCCTGCTAGTTCTAACAGGGACGACCTGCATCCTTTCCTGGACAAGAGCACTTCCCACATGGCAGCAAGCCATAGCAGAAGCTTAGCATGAGACTCTGAGTGAGATCAAGTTCACAGGAAAAGGGAGGCTGGAGAGGCCACCTTTTTGTTCACTAGTCTGGAAAATCTAATAATCTTATTGATTTGGCTATGAATCAATATTTTATCAAGGTAAAAACATGTTTTAGCTTATAGGAGCCTTGTTCAGATCATTTCATGTAATTGCCAACTGTCACTCATATTTTTAAAACAGAATTCTTTGTCTCTACTTGTTAAATAAAAGCCACAGGGCAGAGGGTGTGCCTCAGTTGTACAGCACTTGTCTACCACACATTGGACCCTGGATTTGACCTGTTACCATCGAAGACAAACAGAGTCGCTGCTGTACGAGTTGCCATGTCTGTCAGACTTAACCCTTACTAGCTGTAAGGGAGAGGAGAGCAGCTAGACATAGCTGTAGTTCTTTGCTCTGCCACACAGAGATGCTGAGTTGTGTGTAATGCTTATGGTTTTCATAAATAAAAATGTTTTCACTGGGATAGGTTCATTCTTTTTAAATGTAAGTTGCCCAGGACTGAGGTGGCCACTGAAGGTCAGTAAGTACTTACACATCCTCCCCACCCACTTCTCTTCCACAACAAACTTTTTTCTTGAAACAGGGTCTTGGGTAGCTCAGACTCATTTTGTATCTGAGGATGACCTTGAACTCCTGATCCTCTTGTCTCTACCTCCCAAGTACATGCTGAGTTAGGTGTATACCACCATCCCTGGCTGTAAAGAAGTGTTTTTCTCTTTCCCTTTCTTATTGGGTTTTAAATCTAAGGCCTTGCACTTGTTACTAGAAATAGTAAGATAACAAGGTAAATAGCCAACAGTTCTATTTATATGTACTAGAAATTCATAAAGCTGAGCTGAGTGTGGTGGCATAAACCTATAATCTAGTACTCAGGAAGTAGAGGCAGAAGGATCAGAAGCTCACTGCCTGCCTTAGCTACAGGAGCCCGTTTCAAAAATAAACTATAGTACTAGGTGGGATGGCTTGGTGGCAGGGCTCTTGCCTAGTATGCATAGGGTTCTGGGTTTGATTTCCAGTACCAGAAGTGTGCAGGGGGTGGGGTGGGGGAGACACGACCCTTAAGGTGGGAGGGATGGCCCAGTTGTTAAGGGCATGTACTAACAACTCTTGCAAAGGACTCAAGTTCAGTGTTTAGCACCCAAGTCAGCCAGCTTATAACTGCCTATAACTCTACCTAAAGGGGATCTCATACCCTTCTCTAGCCTTCATGAACATCAGGACTCATGTGCATATACCCACACACATACACATAATTTTAAAAATTAAATCTTTTTGGTATTTCAAGACAGAGTTTCTCTGTATTAACAGCCCTAGCTATCCTGAAACTCACTTTGTAGACCAGGCTGGCCTCAAACTCACAGAGATCCACCTGCCTCTGCCTCCCGAGTGCTGGGATTAAAAGCGTGTGCCACCATCACCTGGCCTAAAAATTAAATCTTACAAAAAAAAAATAAACTGGTGTCTTATTTTACTTTTTGATTGCTGTGACAAAACCCGGTGACCAAGGCTCCTTAGAAAGTGCTTGATTTGAGCTGAACTGACTGGCGCCTGTGGAGGCCAGAAGAGAGTTTCAGTGCCCCTAGAACTCCAGTTCCAGTGCTTGTGGGTGCTGGGAACAGGACCTGGGTTCTCTGTCAGAGCAGCCAGGGGTCTCACCGACTGAGCCATCGCTGTAGCCCACGCTGTGACATTTTAAATGAATGGGACCCATGAGCAACCAGTCTATCGCCTCTGAGCAACAGTCATGTAAGAAGCCCTTGAAAGTAAAAACTTAAGTTCATGTCTTTGGAAGGCAAGCTCTCTACACGGCTATCCCATTTTCCAGGGATGTCCATGGCATATTTATTCAGCAGACTCCTTTCCTCAAAGCTCAGTTTAGAAACGGAAGGGCAGAGTGGATAAGATCAACCACAGTTGCCCTAGAGGTGCCTTATTTGAAACTGCTTCCTTAAGTAAGACGTGCTCCTACAGGAACTTTCCTGGCAAATGCATTCCTTACACTGTGCCTTTGTTAGCTACACCCCAGCCCTGGTTTCATGCTGGGTTCCCCCTTACCTGCTCTCTCTTAGAGACAGCATTTAACCTCACCTCATCCCATCCCCCAAAACATGTACCAACATGCATTGCCATCAGCCTGTCGGGTGGTGGTGCATGCCTTTAATCCCAGCACTCGGGAAGCAGAGGCAGGTGGATCCCTGTGAGTTCGAGGCCAGCCTGGTCTACAGAGTGAGTTCCAAGATAGCCAGAGCAACAGAGAAACCCTGTCTCGAAAAACGAGAGAAAAAAAGTGCTCATGTGGGGAAGGGAACGTAGCTCATGTTTGCCTAGAATACATGAGGCCCTGGGTTCAATTTCAGTTCCCAGTGTAAGTGTTACAGCTTCTAAGGGAAAGGTATCCTGGCAGTCAGGAGCCCAGGAATACCTACAGCTCTGTTCCAGCATGGGATTGGATCCCCAGCAGTGTCAACGGTCCTTGCTCCAGGAAAGGTTTCTCTAAGGCAAGCCTAACAGTTCTGCTCCAGCAGGGGAGGGTTTCCCTGGTGAGGTTTGTTACAGCTCTGCTCTGCTCCAGGGAAAGAAAGTCATTGCTACAAACCTCACTGGAGATTTATTGGGAGGGAGGAATCCAGAAGAGTGGCTGCCTCTGCCAGGGTAGAGAAAGGGCAGCCCCAAACTGACCAGGTATAGGGCTTATATAGGATTTCTTAGGGGCAGAGCTTTCCAAGGTAGAGATTTTCAGGGTATGGATTGGTAGGATTTCAATTCCTGAGTTTGGGACAAACTCCGAGATTGGTTGGTTTTTGTGCTCTGGGATTGGTTTCATGCTCAGGGGTGGGTGCTTGGTTGGTTGGTTGGTTTTTGTCCTCTGGGATTGGTTTCATGCTCAGGGGTTGGTTGGTTGGTTGGTTGGTTGGTTGGTTGGTTGGTTGGTTTTGTCCTCTGGGATTGGTTTCATGCTCAGGGTTTGGTTGGTTGGTTGGTTTTTGTGCTCTGGGATTGGTTTCATGCTCAAGGGTGGTTGGTTGGTTGGTTGGTTGGTTGGTTGGTTGGTTGGTTGGTTTGTTTTTGTCCTCTGGGATTGGTTTCATGCTCAGGGGTTGGTTGGTTGGTTGGTTGGTTGGTTGATTTTTGTGCTCTGGGATTGGTTTCATGCTCAGGGGTTGGTTGGTTGGTTGGTTTTCATGTTCTGGGATTGGTTGGATTTCAATTCCTGAGTGGGTTAGGGGCAGGGTTTGTTTCCTTGACTCTGGTCTCAGGGCCAGGGTGTTCTTTCACTGGCCCTTTTTACCCTACACATAGTACAGCAGAAAAAGGTTGGGGGGAAGTGGTAGACAGAAAGGCTTTATTTTGTATTTGTGACTAGTACTCAGTGTTACTCAAATCTGCCCCAGTTCTCTATCTGAAAAGTTCGGGGTTAACAGCTGGAGAACTCTCATAAGCAAGTTCTTCTGTATGGGCTGGATCAGTAAACACACCAATAAAATCTATTTCCAGGAAGAATGGTCCATCCACCTTATCTGCCAGGGTGAGTCCTATAGAAGAGATCTAAATGTAAAATAAGAGAAATGGATTAGACTCTCCTACACTGATATAGCGATGTTCTTTCTGAAGTCTTCAAAAGACTCCTGGGAATCACTGTAATGGAGTCTTCACCCCATCAGACTCAGCATATTATACTCTTCATTTGCTGGACTAAATTTAAGAAGTACAAATTCAAGACTGCTTTCATTTTTTTCTACATAGGGTTGCATGTAGCCCAGGCTGGCCTTGAACTCCTGATCCTCCTGCCTTCACTCTCAAGGGCTGGGATTTACAGGAGTGTCCTAGCACACTTGAGCGAATGCTTCTCTCTACCCCACATTTTACTTCCTTTCTTCTCCCCTTTGAGTAGTCCACTTAAGACAGTCAGTACAGCATGGCCTCTTAATGGAGTCTCCTTAAAGTTCTTCTGAGCTCTTACTACACAGCTAAAATAAAATGAAGCATGCTGATAGAGGTGGTCCCCCAGGATGGAGGTCTAAGTCAGCACCTGTCCCAACAGAGGAGCCTGGGTAGAATTTTAATCTTTCCTCTGCCATCCTTGGAAAACAAACTGAGCCGGCTCTACAACAACTGGATCTCACTAAAGAAGGTATCTTCTGAGTGGAAAGCATTACCTTGTCAACTACAAGTGGGCTCTGGCCATCTCGTATCCTTCCTTGATTTGAGAAAAAAAATTTGGAGAAAGGAATCTGAAAAAAAGAGACAAGTTATTTCAGAGCTGGAACAAGACCATTTGAGGCATATACACTAGAATCTATAGTCCTAGCTACTCAGGAGACTAAGGCAGAAGGATCACATCAATTCAGACTAGCATGAGCAACATCACAAGACCCTATTTCAATAAGCAGGTAAATTAGTAAGTTTATAAAAAGACAGGTATATGAGGTGCACGCCTTTAATCCCAGCACTCGCAAGGCAGAGACAGGCGGATCTCTGTGAGTTCCAGGACAGCCAGAGCTGTTATACAGAGAGACCCTGTCTTGAAAACAACAACAACAACAACAAAGACATGTATATGAAATGGTTAGCTCCTTGTATTAACGCTGCAGTTTTCTGAGGGTTTTGTTTTTTCAGTGATGTGGATTGAGCCTGGGGTCTTAGGAAGCATTTCACTACTTTACCTTAGACTAAAGAGGCAATAAGTGTGAGCGCACAGGCACACACACACACACACACACACACACACACAGCAGGCCTGTGAATTCAAGGCCAGCACAGGTAACTTAGTTAGCACTTACTTCAAAACAGAAAACCCAAGTGTTAGCTACGCTGTGAAGTGTTCTCCCAGCGAGTGAGAAGCACTGGCTGCAATCCTTGTATAGGGTGAGGGTGGAGGATGCTAGTTATCTGCATCATAGGAAAAAGCCAAATCTGAAGACTTATTTTTTTTTTGTCTGAGACAGGGATGTAAGTCAGCGGTAGAGCACCTCCAAACACTCCTCATCCACACACAAGTAGACTGGCTAGGAAGCTAACACACTGTGCCGCCTGGTTTTATGCCAACTTGATACAACCTATAGTCATCCGAGAGGAGGGAACCTCACTTGAGAAAATGCCTCCACAAGACTGGGCTGTAGGTAAGCCTGTGGAGCATTTTCTTCATTAGTGATTGATGGGGGAGGACCCAGCCCACTGTGGATGGGGACATCCCTGGGCTGGTGGTCCTGGGGTCTGTAAGAAAGCTAGCTGAGCAGGCCATGAGGAGCAAGGCAGTAAGCAGCACTCCTCCATGGCCTCCATGTCAGCTCCTGCCTCCAGGTACCAGCCCTGCTTGAGTTCCTGCCCTCACTGCTTTTGATGATAAACTCTTGTATGGAAGTGTGAGTGAATTAAACTTTCCTCCCCAACTTGCTTTTGGTCATGGTATTGCATCACAATAATAGTAACCCAAACTAAGACACATACATACATAAACTTACTTTATTTATTTACTTATTTATTTATTGTTTGTTTTTTTTAAGTTAGAGTCTCTATGCAGTCCTGGCTGTCCTGGAACTCACTATGTAGGCCAAGGCCAGCCTCAAACTCACAGAAATCATCTGCCTCTGCCTCCAAAATGCTAGGATTAAAGGCATGTGCCACCTTGCCTGACTCTTTTTTGGGGGGAGGGGGGTTGAGACAGGGTTTCTCTATAACTGTTCTGACTGTCCTGGAACTCACTCTGTAGATCCGCCTGCCTCTGCCTTCTGAGTGCTGGGATTAAAGGCGTGCACCACCACCCAGCCTGGCTCAATCTTATTAATGAAAAAACAAAACATGTGTCCTTTAAATCTTTCCCAAGGTCCTCTCACTTCTACTCATTCTGCCTCTATTTTATGTAAAAATGATTAGTAGGGGTTGGAGAGATGGCTCAGTGGTTAAAGAGCACTGGCTGCTCTTCCAGAGGACCCGGGTTCAATTCCCAGCACCCACATGGCAGCTCAACCCTGTCTGTAACTCCAGTTCCAGAGGATCCAACACCCTCACACAAATATATATGCAGACAAAACACCAATGCTCATAAAATAAAAATAAATGAGAAAAGAATGATTAGTATGAAAAAGGAAACTACAGTGTAACCATACTTTCAACAGTGAAGAGCTGAAATTTTACCTTGACTTCCTGCCAGTAGGGCCCCCCACGGGTGAACATGAAGTAACTGTACATCTGATTTTTTCTCTGGATAAATTCTGTGTCTTGCCTGATATTCACCATCCAAGGCCGGCCATCCCCACGGACTCGGAGATACAGAGTGTTGAACTGGGACCAATCATAAGACAGCTTCCTCACAAAAGCCCCCTAAGGTACAGAAAGTTAAGTTAGTATAGTAGGAACCCTCAGCAAGTCAGCAGTGTGTTGTTTATTACCGGGCGGTGGGGGGTGGAGGGGGACGCATATGGACGTCAGAGGACAACTTCTGTCAGTCAGTCTTTCCTTCTCCATGTGGGTTCAGGGACTGAACTTGGGTCTTCAGGCTTAGCAGCAAGTGTCTTACCCACTGAGCCACCTTGCCAACCCAACAGGGCGGTCTATGTATATTTTCTACCACAAGAAGGCAAATAAACCAGTATTTTAGTACAAAACACTGACATATGTTTCTAAGGTAATGTTCAAGGCATGATTAACCTAGGACAATGTTTCCATATGACAGACATTCATTTGTGTTTGCCAAATGGAAATTAATGTACTTTTCTTCCCTGGTTCTAAGAAACAATGGCTTCTGAGAGGCCCATTTTATAACAACTGTCTTACTCCATCAAGTTTTAAAAATCAAAAGACTGGGAAGATGGCTCAGTGCTTGCTGTAAAAGCATAAGGACCTGAGTTCGGATCCCCAGCACCCACAATACAAAACTAAGTGGTAGCATCCCCCTGTAGCTGCAGCACTCACAGAGAGGGGCAGACCCCAGGGGCTCACTGGCCAGCCAGTCTAGTCAAAACGGTGAGCTCCAGGTTCAGAGGGAGACCTTGTCTCCAAAAACTAGGCAGCCAGAGATACAGCAAGACATTCCAACATTACCCTCTGGCCTCTACATGCTTACACACTCCTCTCATCCCCTCCCCTCACCCCCCTCTCTCTCTCACACACACATTAAATAATAGCTAGCATCCATTCAAGCAATTTACATGCATAATTTCCTTTAATCCTCCCCACGGTCCTAAAATACAGATATCAAGATGTCATAGATAACAGAGAACTCAGCTAATCAGTACAAGCACTGCTTAAGCCCCAAATCTGTGTTTAACTGCCTAGGCCGTCACTCTCTTCAAAAATGGAAGTTAAGGTCTAGGTGTGGAGGCACATGCCTGTCATCCCTACACCAAGGATGCTGAGGCACAAAGATTCCTGACAGACTGAAGTCAGTCTAGGCTACAGTCATCAGACCCGCTTGCACTCCAGAGTAAGATTCCGTCTCTAAACAAATAAATAATAAAAAGAGAGAAAAGGAAAGGAACTTAGGATGCATTTTCCTAGGCATTTATTTATTTATAGCACTCTCAAGGACAACTGGCATTCAAGATGTCAATGCTCAGCCATGAACTAATGCTCAGCCATGAACTAATGCTCACGCCCTCTGACTAGCTGCATCCCAAAGCCTCGGTTCCTCACAGTAACACTGGGATGATCTCCTGTCTCAGGACCGTTTTGAGGGATGAATGGAGAACGTACATAAAGTACTTAGCACCAGCACGGGAAAAACATACTGACACGTTAGATGAGGCGTGGTGGCTCACATCAGTGACCCCAGTGCTTAGGGTGCAGAGGCAGGAAATATGACCTGAGTTTACGGGGAGCCTGAGCTACTAGGGGATTCTACCTTAAAAACAAACAAAGAAGTTATCTACTAGTTTCATTACTTCCCAGTGGGGGTGTTTGGCTACAGAATTACTTTCTGCTCTGACTGACCAGAACTATCCCATGCATTTTTTTGAGGGAAGACTGGAAAAACAAACAACTCTGTGCGTCCCTGGTTACATCTGAAAGAACAAGGAGCTTCCTTTTTCACTTCCCAGAGAGTCTAATGCCGCTCCTACATCTGCTTTTCCCCCTAATGCATCATGTCCACGCGAACCACCAGACTGCAGCTGAAGTTGAGGTACAGCCTCCTCTAGGCAGCCCTGAGACAGCCAGTGAATTCACACGGAGACAGCCAGAGGCTGACAGGGACTCAGGGAAGAACTTGAGACAGAAACTTTAAGAAACTGAGCCAAGCAGTGGTGGTGCACGCCTTTAATCCCAGCACTCGGGAGGCAGAGGCAGGCGGATCTCTTTGAGTTCGAGGCCAGCCTGGTCTACAGAGTGAGTTCCAGGACAGTCAGAACTGTTACACGCAGAGAAACCCTGTCCTTAAAAAAAAAAAAAAAAAAAGAAAGAAAGAAAAGAAAATTTAAAAATGAACACCGTTCTCTTTTGTTGTCTTGTAACATGGAGTACCTACTGGTCATAGGGCCTTGCACATGCTAGGCAAGCACTCGACTGCTCTGGGCCTCCTTGGACTTGGTAGTTCTCTGAGATGGGGCCTCATATAGCCCAGAACTCACTATAACTCAGAATTACCATCAACTCCAATCCTCCAGGCTCCTCCCAAATGCAGTGATCACAAGAATGCACTACTACACCCAAGGTTTTTATTTTGAGATAGGGTCTCACTAATTTGCCTAGGCTGGTCCTGAACTTACTCAGTAGCCTAGGCTAGCCCTGAATTGGCAAAACTCCTGCCTTTACCTCCCACACTGCTGGGATTGCAGGCCTAAATTATCAGGCCCAGCTTAAACACTTCAATCTAACATGCAATTTCTGAAATGGCTTTTGGTTAAGAATTCTGAAACTGGGGCTGGGGCGTAGCTAAAGTTCTGACACTTGCATAGAATATCGAAGCCCTGGGTCCGATCCCCACTGCAGAACAGACACAAAGCGTTGTGTGCATACCCGTAATCCCATCTGCTTAGGAGCTGGAAGCTGGAGGATCACTTAAGCCCAGGAATTCAAGACTGATTTGGGCAACACGACTCCGGAAATTCTAAACTGCATTACATATTTACTGGGGTTGGATTAATAAGTAAGTGGATGTCGAGAGGGTGAAGATTTCTGTTAGAGAGGCAAGTTACAGATAAGAGATGAAAGGCTATAATGAACCACATGGTACTAGAGTCAGGGACAACAGAATGTATCCACATTTAGTATAACACAGACACAATGAAATAACAACAGATATGTATACACGGCCATTAAACAAACACATGTAGTCCGTTGTGACTTGGAGGAGCATGATGCCCCACCCAGCTTCTTATGTGTGCACTGGGGATCAAACCCAGGTCCTCAAGCTTGCGTGGCAGGCACTGTACTGACTGAGCCATCTCCCCAGCCCCCAGCACAGCAATGTCAAATATTAATACAAGTACCAGACATGGTGGCACATCACTTAAGTATCAGCATTTAGGTCAAGGCAGGAGTGTTAGGAGTTCTAAGTTATCCTCAGCTACATAATTAGTGCAAGGCCAGCCTAAACTGCATGAGACCCTGTCTCAAAACCAAAAAAGGCCATAGAGTGATCCTACTTAATCCAAGCTAGAGATGTAAATCTCCCTAGATACCTTTCAAAGTCTATTATCTCAGGATTCCTCAGACACACCCCATTCTTCTCAGACCCAAAACAATGCCCAGAAACAAGGCTGCCCCATTTTACACTCAGGCCAAGTAGTTATTTATCCCTAGAGGCAAGATGCCTATATATAACAAAACTGATGTGTTCATTTACAGAAAAGCAAGCTGTCTGTTATAGTTCATGCTACAACCAAAGTCACTAGAAAACTGGCTTCCAGGCCTCACCTACCCTTGGAATCCTGGATACTATTGCACAGTACCCACTTTGGGTACTTTTTCCATCTTGAGGTGCCTCAGAGCTCAGCGTCCCATAGAGCAGGGCACTTTGGTTGTTCTTGGCCATTTTCAAGAATATTTCACTTTTGCCTCCAATTGTCTTATCAGAAGTCACTATCCACTTCTCCAAATCTTCTTTTCCACGAAACTGCCAGACAACCCTGGCTTGCTCCATTATGACCTCTTGTATTGGGCGGCCTCCTGGACCTATCCAGTGAGCCTTAATTTCATCCTTCAAAAGCTTTAAATGTTCTATTGCTTCATCTATAATTGCTTTATCAAAACTAACTTCGGGTTTCTTGTCAGGAGACGTTATATCCAAGGCAACCTCTTTGTCGTGACCCTCTTGTAAACCCTCTTCAGTTTTCTTTTGCTGGGAGACTCTGTCAGCAGGAGCCACTTGTTTCTGAAGAGGACTGGAAGAACAGTGTACAAAGTGAACACCTATAAACGGATGCAAGGCAGCCCTTGGCTTCAGGAAGTTTCTATGAATGTAAGTGCCAGTCAGTAATTTGTGAAAGGAAGCCATTGTAAGAAAAAGGTCAAAATGTAAAAATTTCCGTGGATTGAGAAAATAAGCTTCAGTAATCAGCCCAATTCCACCTATAGCAGAAAAAACATTGGTTATCAGGAGAGCAACAAATGAATGAATCAGAAGTTCAAACTCAACAGAGACCATGTACTGTATAATTCATAGGCTCCCCCCGCCCCTCCAATTACTCAGCAGTGGCTTTTAGAAGCAGAGTACTATTTTATGCATCATAAAAATAAAAGTGCCAATATGGCCAAGAATGGTGACACCATACTTGTAACCCTAGCACTTGGGAGACGAAGGCAGGATGATCAGGAGTTTAAAGTCATCCTTAGCTACCTAGTGAGTTCAAGGACAGCTGGGCTACATGAGACCCTATCACTAAATAAACCAAACTACCAACATGACTAAAGCAAAACCTCAGCTTCACAGAGCTGGCCATCAACCCCCAAATAATTCAAGTATGTGCCACAAGCTGCCTCAAGAGGTGTCAACTTCAAAGCAGCTTTTTCTTGGGGGTTTATTTTTTATTTTTTGGTTTTTCGAGACAGGGTTTCTCCATGAAGTTTTTGGTGCCTGTCCTGGATCTCGCACTGTAGACCAAGCTGGCCTCAAACTCACAGAGATCCATCCTCCTGCCTCTGCCTCCTCAGTGCTGGGAGTAAAGGTGTGTGTTACCGCCACTGGCAGGGTTTTAATTTTTTTTTTTTT